AATAATTATTCTATCTTATCTCTCTTATTACTTTCTCTCCCCTCTCCACCACAATTTTGCTCTCCTAAAAAAAAAAATTTGAGTGTAAGGGCAATTTGGTCATATTTTGAATTTTTTTTACAAGTTTTGATGGAGAGGGAAGGTTGTTGAGCATACACCCAAATCTCAAGGGAGGTTAACACAATAAATCTTAAATACTTTACTTGTGTGAGATTTGTCCAAACCTCGGAGGATGTCAGTGTAATTTACTCTAATTATTTTTATTATTACTTTTTTGGATAATTAAGTGTACTATTATTCTATATGTTTATTTTCTCCTCTCTTCATAAAATACATGAGAACAGATAATGATAGGAAATTTTTCCACTTTTAATGGTGAAATTTCACAAATAAACGAACATGAATTGATGAAATTTCACTTTTATCCTCCGTTTGATAAGAGGAAGAAAGATGGATGGAGGAAAGGTAGGAAGGAAAAATAAATTTTCTTCATTTGGTAGAACATCCAAATATGGAGGGAAGAGGCAAAGAAAGAAAAACAAAACTATAATAAATGTTTTTAAATCACATAACTTTCCTTATAAGTATCAATTTCCCTTCGATCTATTCTCTTCTAGCAACTAAAATAAGGTATTATCTTAATTCTCCTCTATTCCATCTAACCAAATAAAAAGAGGCAGAAACAACATTATCTCTTCCATAAAAATGTTTCATTCATCTCTTCTCTCCCTAGCTTCCAACAAATTTCCGTCCATCCTGCTACCAACAGAGCCTTATAGTGTTGAAAATTTCCAACCACATAGAAAAGCTAATGTTGGAGAGGATATATATTCTTCCTGGACTTCATCCTATGATTAGAAGGGGAAAAAAACACTGAAAAGGCAACGATAGGAAATTAAATATATAAATAGTTTTGTAGTTTAGCATTTGATTGCAAGGTTGTAAGGTAAATCTGATGCAAATTAACTCAGTGAGAGCATTTCATAATAGAATATATCTTAAGAACATATATACATCAACAATTTAGAGGATCATTAGGAATGTTTTTAAATTGTTTCAAGTCGTTCCAAATATCCATGTACATATTTGCATGCATGAATGCATATATATATATAGACACACACACACACACACACACACACACATGCATTAAGAGGGATATTCTTCTTAACTGCATACAAGACTCCAACTGGTACCAAATAGACTCAAATTGATGGAGGTTGTTTTTTTTTTTTTTTAAATGTTGGAGGATTTTGTTTTTATCAGGAATGGGTTTCCGCGAGTTGAGAAAGTAGAAACAGCTCGTCGAAACTGTGCCAAAAAAAGTGTCAGCTCAGACAACTCCGCTGTTTAGTCCACTACTCTCTCTCTCTCTTTCTGAATTCGGATTTAGGGTATGATAAATTAAAAAACCAACATGTCTGGTAGTCAGGCCAAAAACTTTTCCATGTGTGCGCTTAATCTACATATCATGTACCATAACTTCCAAAATTAAACAAACATATCATGTACCACACACGTGTGTGTATATATATATATATTACTTTATCTGTGTGCTTTAAATAGGTATGATTCTCAATTATGCATGCAATCAGACAAAGGGTGCATATATATATACACAAACACACATATATATGTCATATGTGCACTCAGTCCCTTCTTTCTCCATAAAAACTAGCTATAACTTTTGGTTAATTAATTTAATTCTGGTGCGCTTATATATAATTCATTCATGATGTTGCAAGGCGCACTAGGAGGCCTTGATTAATAATCAACAGTTAAAGCAAGAAAGAAAGAATAAAAAAATAAAATAAAATAAACTATATTTTGAACCATCCATGCATTAATATTATATATATGTGTCCACTTTGATCATCAACTACAATTGCCAATTTTTTTATATATGTTATGCATAATATATGCATGCAATTATATGGGTCTATATATATATATATATATATATATATATATATATGACCTCTTGCATGCAATTGTACAAGCAAAGGACTAGCTCCTTTAAAGGCCAAGACATTCACTAGAAGACCTTATATTCACAAAGGCAGTCAGTGTGGAAAATAGCTCACAAATTCTATATATAAACTAGAACGTTAATTGTATTTTTAGCCTCCTGAAACATGAAAATTTAGGAATCCAACGAATTTTACATAGAAATATAATCCTAAAATTCCAAAAACAATCCCTAAAATGAGTCGGATTAAATCATAAAATTACACTTAATTTCTTAGATATCAATTTCGTTTTAAAAAGACCATGGTATCAACCCTAATATGGTATACTTGCCGGACAGTTTCAATTTTTTTTCTTTTTCTTTAGTTTTCTTTTTCGGTTAGGAGTTTATATATATGACTATATGAGTACCGGATAATTTCAAACTTTTTTTTGAAAACAACATGATAGTCAACATGAGTGAATTCTCTCATGAACGTTTAACGATCCAATGCTAGCTCCAAGAAAATGATCTAATGTTCGACTGTGTTACATCAATTGATCATTTAATCCACTTTTTGCAAGATTAAGACACCATTCTTATTCCTTTTTATCTAATTCTTTCTTCTTTCCTTTTTTTTTGGAGCAACAAAGACAATTGTAAAACACAGCACCATACGCATAATGCTTTTTTTTTTTTTTTTTTTTTTTTTTTTCCGTTTTTTATCGAACAGTCCATACTCATAATGTTCTGTTACATTCAGTCATTCACCAGCTTTTCGTTTCGAAAAAAACCAAACAATTAAAAGGTAGTCTATACTTTTTATCCGGCCCCTACAATATAAAATTCCCTATGGTGTCATTGACAAAATATCTTCGTTCAGAGACAAATCAACCACACAAAAATAAAAACTCAGGTGTTGTACGTTTCGTGAAGCAAAGTAATTCTTCAAAGTTCAGAGAATGCCTTTAATGAATGTGACCATGCATTTTTTTTAACAAAATGTCGTCATCAAATCACATTCATAATCACATTTGTGACACTATGATATGAATCTATATTTCTATTGATTCTTTTTAACCATTAAAGCATTTGTGTTTACTGTGATATTCTGTTATTGAACAGTGACTGATTCGACTTTAAGGCAAATTAAGTAAAAAAATAAAAAATAAAAATTTTGAATGCTCCAACTTTTCCTGTGAAAGCTCAATCTACAAATGAAAGTGAAGGGGACACACAATGTGCTATAACATTAAAAAAAATAAAAAAAAATAAAAATTATCCTACAAAAAAGCTCATTGACCATGACAGTGGGATCTTCTTTCTTTAAGAAGATCGAGGTCACTTTTTTTTTCTTTTTCTTTTTCTTTTTCTTGGAGGGGGGGGTCTTTTTCTCTCTTTTTATCTCCCTAAAAAAGGTGATTAATTTTTTTTTGATAGTGTTTCGACTTTCGGGTGTGGCAGGATTACCACCGGTACCATTGATGCAAGGAATGGAGAGTTTAGCTCAAATCATTAGCATTTCAAATTTCAATGATACATTATTTTTATTTTTATTTTTTGCAATTTAAGGAGTACCTTAGGGTATGCACAAAAAATATATATCTATATAATTAATTAAAAATTAAATAAATTATGTTTATATTATATACTATCCATATAAAATTATGTATACGTAGTATTATATTTTGTTACATGCATAGTTATATTACTCATTTCTATATTTTCCTTTTCAAGCCCGACCCAGTGAAACTCGATTAAAATATAAAGTTCAGAAGTCCACTTTAAGCCTGCATTTCGGCCCGCAAAGAGGCCCAGAACCCACTACTTGCATTGCAAGCTCACGTCTGAGCTTGGGTTTCTCATTGCTAAGTCAGGCCCGGGCCAGGTCATTGACTAAGTCAGGCCCGGGCCAGGTCATTGACTAAATCAAAACCCGGAAGACTCGATCCATTTTTTAAAAAAAAAAATTTTTACAAGGCATGAAGCATTAAAAATTAAATTAGTAAATGCAAAAAAAAAAAACCTGATACTTCAAAATGTATCAGAGGTACTAATGCACAAGGCCATTGAGGCATTTGCGGTAGACTCAATCCTGAGCAAACCTTTCAAAGTCTATTTGATAATCATAATTGCTTTGTGCTTTTGTTTTGACCAAACACAATCAATATTTTTGTTTTGAAGTGTGTTTAATACAATACTATTTAAAAGGCCATTTGGTAATACTATTAGTTCCTTACAAAGTATAATGGTAATCAACAAAGAAGCAAAGAGTTATGGTAGATGAGTTGAATGGTGGTCACTTGTTCATTAGACAGCAGTATTATCATTTTTGGTAGTGCATGAGAGGGTGATATGCTAATGAGATGCTCCAGCTTGCAAAAGAATATAAATCCCATAGATTGTGTTTGTGGGGTTACTTGACCGTCCTTCATGCTTTAATTAGAAAAGCTTTTAATGGATTTTTTTTTTTTTCCTACTTCAATCTAATGAATTTGAATCATTGTAGCCCCTCATGGAAGCCCAGCAATGGGATTTTGATCTTTTGGGAACCTCTGCTGTTGATGAAAATGAAGTTTAACCTGGATAGTTGCTCTTTTAAAATAGGCTAGTTTGAAATTGGAGAGCTTTGGGATATCACAGTAGAAATTGTATTCTGGCATTTTTTAAATGATTGGTCTTCTATTAAGGCAGAGATTCTAGCATTTATTGGTGGTTTTAGATAGAATTATTGCTTAGACACATATCGCGTACAGATAATCCAATGGGTTCCCAAATTGCTCTGTTGAGGGAGATTTTGATGTAATAGTTAGGTGGGTTTTGTGATAATTGGTTAAGTGAAAGTTCGGAATTACTGCTTTACAACAGAACATTATATGGATTTCAATATCACCAATTGAGGGAATCAGATTCTTGGAGAAGAGGGGACAACCATTTTGGCAACATTTGTAGGTCACATTTGTAGGGTGGTTGGGGTTCTACTTGTCATTAGTTGGATGGATCACGGGTCTGGTCTTGTACTCTGTGCTGGGGTCCATTTTCTTGTATCTTGTGTGTGTTTTTTCCTATGTACACTGGAGGGTCTCTCATCCCTTGGGTTTTTGTAACTTCCCTTATTGATATTTTGGTGTTAGCTTGCATATTTGAATCAGAGGACTGTCTTTCTATTGTGTCTATAAAGATTCAAACTGTTGGCAATCATAGTGTAATTTTGTTCAGTTGCTGTTGTTGTGCTGCTATGATTTCTATTTCTCTTTTTCAATTTTATTTCCTTAATTATGGTAATGCTTTTCTGATGTAGACATTGAAATTACCTTTTGCAAGAGTTGGAGGACCTATCCAGGTAAAAGCGGAAAGATCAAAGATGGAGCTCTCTATAACTCGACCTGATGATTGGCATCTTCACCTCCGGGACGGTGACCTTCTTGAAGCTGTGGTCTCACACAGGTCTTCTTGAAGAAGTCTTTTTATGCAACTGTCTTGCATATTTATTCCCATTAAATTGCAAAAAAAAAAAAAAAAAAAAAAAAAAAAAATGTTCTTAACATTTATAATGATTTACATTATATTGGGTTTTTTTTCCTTGCCGAGTTTGGTTTGATTGTGCCATCTTAATTTTTTATGCTTACAGTGCAAAACACTTTGGAAGGGGAATTGTGATGCCAAATTTGAAACCTCCCGTCACCACCACAGCTGCTGCTTTGGCTTATCGAGAATCGATATTGAAAGCACTGCCTGCCAATAGTGACTTCACTCCTCTAATGACACTTTATTTGACAGATACAACGAGTCCAGCTGAGATCAAACTTGCTAGTGAGTCCATCTTACAGTTTTGAATTGGGACCTGTTAATTGTTTAACATTTTGAAGACTATTTTAGTTAACTCAATTGTCTGATGGGATTTATTTCTTTTCCTTTTTTCTTTTTTCTTTTTTCTTTCTTCTTTTATTATTATTATTATTATTGTTTTTTTTGTTTTTTGGTGAGGCTATCAGTTGCGGTTTAGCTATCTTCTGCTGTCTTTTATTTTTATTTTTATAATGCACAGGCACAACAAACTACCACTTTTTTCCCTATAAACTGACTACTTAGACATTTAGTGATGGGACAGTATCAATTATAGGAAATATTTGATTATGACTTTCTGCGGATTTAATATTTTACTGCTTCAATAGCATATTATATATTTGCACCTGCTATTAGTACTCATAGTTTATTTGATAGATTCAAATGGAACTTTAAACAATTAAACTATTAATAAGAATTAAGAATTTACTTTACAGGGATAATCTAATGATACTCTTGAACAACAATCTTTAATTCACACATGTTATTCTAAAAAACTTGCTGTTAATTTCTCTTCATTTTCAATATTGTCAAATCTAATGATCATTTTATCTTTCTTAGTGGAATGCCAATAGCAGACGAAAATTATTTTAAAATATTATAGGCTTGGATAATTGGAACTTGAAACCATTGGTTGAACAAAATTTTTGCTCCAGATTAACTTTATGGATTTGTGATGACCATTGATACCTCGTTAGCTATCATACTTTGTGGAGTCTGCATGAATATGCTTCTGCACTGGAAATATCTCATAGAGGGAAGGCCCAGAGATCATAAAGGATGGGATGGGATGGGAATGGAGGCATTCCAGCCCAACATACTCCAGTGAATGGGTCGAGAGAGGCTATCCTATAATCCAACCATTCAATCGGCTATGGCGATGAGGGCTAGTACAAACTTAGGTAGGTTGATCGGCGCTCATCCCTTGTGTTCTCTCCCGTGAAGTGATTAATCCCTAAATTGGCATGCAATCGCTATCACCTTGATCTTTGGAGGCTCAGGTGGAGGCTCGTTTTCTTATGTTTTCTCGTTTGGCTCTTTTATCTCCAGTTATTGGGGATCCCATTTCCAAATCAACTCAAGATATGCTTATTGGACTCTATCTATTAACGAACGGGAATCGTCAAGGTATCTGTGTATTGACGATAACAACGGGTGAGACCTTTGCCCAAGTTCTTCGCTGTGTTGCTTTCGCGCCCTTTGCCTGAATGGTAAGGTCCAATCTTGACTAAGAACCTTACCCCTGCCCCTCTTCCCGTTCAGGCGTCCTGCAACATCAAGAGGAAGGCACCCATCAAAGTTTGGTCACATCCCCTATTTCACGATTACGCCTTTATTTATTTCATTCAATGACATTATTTTATTTTAGTTTTACTTGGCATTTGTACAACTAACATAGCAAAGTTTTATCTTCTAGAATGAATATCCTATGCTTTACCTATTGTCTTATTTTTTTATTTGCGGTTAAGAGAAAATGGTGGTTGCTGTGACAGGAGAGAGTGGGGTTATTTTTGCTGTAAAGCTGTACCCTGCTGGGGCTACAACAAATTCTCAAGATGGTGTTACAGATCTTTTCGGCAAGTGCTTACCTGTGCTTGAGGAGATGGTTGAGCATAATATACCTCTGCTGGTAATTTCACCAATCAAAGTGGTAGACATGGAGTTTATTTTTCATTCCTGTTTTACTTTTTGCTAATCAAATTTGCAAGTAATACTTGTTCTCCTTTAATTGAATGGAAAATAAGGACTTCCTGGAATTTTATAAAGCAATTTTTATTGTCCTGAATGAAAGTTAGCTTACTCATCTAAGAAAAAGAACTAGGCATCATTTTGCATTAATCTGAAAGTTTCTCTAGGGATTTTGGTTAAGGTACATTACCTTTGAGCACTATTTATGGTCATAATGCACGGCCCTTGTTGAGCAAGAATATGATAGCATTTTAGGGTTGTTTTTAAATGAATCAAACTAGTGAGTGATCCAAAAAGGATATATCCAATTTGTAATGGCAGATCATAATACATGCAAGTCATAAATATTATCTCGCTTGTAATGATAGCCATGGTGGATCCACCAAACCTTTGCTCCTATGCTACTAGCTGCAAGGAGGAAGACAATCTAAGTTCTATATTTAGTTTTAGTGTGCCTTGAACTGCAATGACTATAAAAACATAAGAGGTGTACACAGGCAATTAGTCGATGATCTAAAGCCCAAAATGAAACAAAATAGAACTCGTATCATTGTCTCCCCTTTTATTCATTTGCATTAGGTAGGTTCTTGAGTTGGGGTGTTGAGGATCATTATGGGTTGTGTTTGGAAATGTAATGGGAACTCTTTATTTTTCTGACTTCTTATTCATGGGCAGTACCATTATCCCCTGTGACATTGGTGTGGAATGGTTTAGATATTTGCACGTGTTCAGTGTTCTCCTTGTTTTGCACTTTTGCAGTAGTCTCAAAGGTTGAAGATGACTTATCAGTAGAAGAAAGGAAAAGAATAAAATCAAACATGGATGATTCTAAAAAGAGTGAGCTTGTGGAGATAGGGGATTTGGAGGCTTTGGCCATTAACCTAGGGTGTAAAGTGGGTTCCTTTCTCCTAAATCATAATTAGGTATTTAGGTGTATCTTCATTGAGATCAAAAGCCAAATAGGATGTAGTTGTTAAAAAACAAGGCTGGCAGGGTGGAAGTGGCAGTAACTCTCATAAGGGGAATCCTCACTCTTACAAGAGCACTTTTTCCAGCCCTTGTTCGTATTTAATGTCCACTTTAACCATTTTGTCATTAGTCAATAAGAGGCTTGAAAGATTTAATGAGATTTCTTTTGGGAATTCTCATCGAGGAGTTCAAATATTGTTTGGTTAAGCAGAACGAGGTTTATTTACCTATCAGACATAAAGGATTAGGTATTAAGAAGTTTTGGCTGCTTAATGAAGCTCTGTTAAGAAAATGGTTATGTAGGTTTTGCTTTAGGAAGGCAGACCTTGTGACCAAGGTTGGTGGATCAGAAGTATGGGAGAGTTGGGGGAGAGTGGATGACGAGGGAGGTGGAAATGGAAAGTATCGTGAAGGCTTGTGGAACTTCTTTTCTCTTTATCCAATTAATTGTGGCCAAAGGGAATTATGTTACTTTGGCACAATTTGTGGTGTGATGAGGTGGCCTTGAAGTCGAAACTCAAGAGTTGATTCATCTCACGAGAGATAAAGTTCGCAGATAGAGTTCATGTCTTTTTCGAAATGGTGCAGTACGGAGTCCAAGATTTAGATGGGGGCCTCTAGGACTCAGGTTGGTTTCGTTGATTTCATTATCAGCTATGTTCAGGAGTATCCAGTTAGTGGAGAAGGGAAGATTCAATCTGATGGAATGAGTCTAAGGTGGGATCTTCAGTGTTTGTTTATTTTATGAGTCTCTTATGTGGAGGTAGGTCAGACTTACCTTAGAGGAGCATTTGGCACACAATGGTCCTCCTCAGGATGTCTTTCTTTGCTTGAGTGATTGCTTTTGTTTCTATTTTTAATATTGACAATTTAAAATTAAATGAATTTCAGATGGCTATTTGGTATTGCTTCTGAAGAAAATGAGACTACTAGCTGCCTGCTCCTTCACGTAGAGAGGCAAGAGAGCTTTAGAGCCTTGTTCTCTTTTTCTGTGAGATCAAGTGGATAATACCTGGGTTGGTAATGGATATGCTGGGAATGTGAGAGAGTTATAAGAGGCACATAGTTTGGAAGGTGTGGGGTGTTTTTCCTCTTGTCTTATGTGGTGCGGTTGGTGTGAGAGGAATAGAACATTTGATGGGGAGTTTCCATTCCGAAGCTGATCCATTTGAAATTTTTTTCCTTCATTGGGATTTAGTGTCTTACATTATATAAAATTCATTTTGCAAATATTTTAGGAGATATTTGTGTTCTTAATTCTTTAGTAGAGTTTTTACTTACTCAAACATATATATATATGTGCGTGTGTGTGTATAACGAACAACCCATTTCCATGCGATGTTATATGTATATATAGAGAGAGAGAGAAGAAAGCAGGAAAAACGTTTACACGATGGATAAAAGGATACTGTTATTGATGAAAAATATTGTTTGTACAGCTATCACAAAATTGTGATTAATTTACTCAGGTTTTTATCAAAACAAATAGATTTATAAAATGAGGTTTAGCTCCTTGTTCCACAAAAAATAGGTTGAAAGTCTAAGCAGAGCCGCAGTTTACATGGGGTATCAATTTGTCATACACGGACCCATGTATGAATGTTGGGTCTCAGGTGCTGGTTTCACCTATTCAAAGATTTTCTATTAGATTAGTCTTGAGTTTGCATGTTCATGTGTTGAGTAGTATTGATATGGATACTTCAAGTTAGAGTGAACAATTTACAAAGTACTGGAAGTTAAATGATGGTGCACTCACACCATCAAGATTTTGGACAAAACTACCTTCATATAATCTTCAAATGACAAGAGTTGCAAGGACACTTCATTAGTCAGGGCCGTCAGGCTTACAAGCTTTGGAAATGACTGCTTCTAAATCATGCGTAATAACTTGCTTAGCCAAGAAACACAGCAATGTTTGGCTGTTTTTTGAAGTCTTCATGGTACACTGGAGAAGGCGCCGTATTTTGTTTGAACTTTATATGTGCACACCTAGTGAAGTAATTTTAAAATACCAGAGTTCCTTAATCTGCAGGTTCATGGGGAGGTTACGGATCCCGGGATTGACATATTCGATCGTGAAAAAGTATTTATTGACACTGTTTTAAGACCTTTGATCCAGAAGCTTCCACAACTGAAGGTTGTGATGGAGCATGTTACCACAATGGATGCTGTGACTTTTGTTGAATCTTGCAGCGAAGGTATCGTTAGTCACTTATAATCTATTCACTCACCCTCTCTCTCTCTCTCTCTCTCTCTCTCTCTCTCTTCATAAAATAATTAGGTATATACTTGCTTTTAGACATTTGATCTCACTTCAATCATATTTATTAGGATCTGTTGCAGCTACTGTCACACCACAGCATCTTCTTCTGAATAGGAATTCTATATTCCAAGGAGGACTTCAGCCACATAATTATTGCCTTCCAGTACTAAAAAGAGAGATACATAGTATGTTCCATTCATCATCTTTCATGAATCTACAATTATGATCCAGTTTCTCTCGTTTTGACCTTAAACTACCAATTTTATCATTTGCCATTCGAAGTGTTGGAAGCTTGATACTGTCACGACACTGTCAAGTAAGCCCATTATCTATGGATCTCACTTGCATGTCTGTTGCTGATGGGGGATGCTAGCTGTCTAATCCTGCTCTGATTATCTAACATGATAAATCATGACATTAAAGTCAGTCTTTCAAACAGTGTCCAATATGTAAATGAAGTTCGTAACTCGTAAGGGATATGGCCATATGCCATGACTGCCACAAAGATTTCAGGAACATATCAGAAAGAAGTACATGTTAATAAATAAATAATTGAATGAATAAAAATAGCCTGCTTTAGCATTCTAGCATTAACTGGAACAACTCAGAAATTATTTTAGGTATATTTAAATAAATTTTGAATCATTGGATTATATGGAATGAATTTGGTTGGACTATGCTTAGGAATGTTAAAAATATCTTGAATTGTTGGTTTGAATGAAACAGTCCTTTCCCCATTTCTCTCTCTCTCTCTCTCTCTCTCTCAAGCTCATTGTTTTATTTCTCATTTAGGACAGGCTATTGTGTCAGCTGTGACAAGTGGAAGTAAAAGATTTTTTCTCGGAACCGATAGTGCTCCTCACGAGAGACGAAAAAAAGAATGCCCTTGTGGATGTGCTGGCATATATAATGCTCCTGTTGCCCTGTCACTTTATGCCAAGGTTTTCGAAGAGGTGATTTATTTTGACATCTGTCAAGTTTATTTTAGTTTTTTCTCTTTGCTTTATTCTTTCAGATTCACCAACAAAGTTTGAAATTATATTGTTGTGGTGTTTATAAGCATGCATATATTTTTCAGTAGTTGAATTTTTAAGAATTTGAACTAAAAGTTGATTTAGCTGAGAGTACGATAGTGGAGCTTACCACTAGATGTGCGACACACAATCAGCAAAACTGTGACATCCCAAAGTTGAGCCCGACTCATTCTTTGACTGTATCATATACACCTCGTGATGCTGATTCTATAATAATCTGATTAATTGTAGAGTCAGCATTACAGTCAGAACGTTAACACACACTTGCACACAGAAGGGGAAAAAGGGAAGGATGCAAGGATCAGGGTATCACTCTGTAGATAAGTAAATATATAATTTGAGTCGTATGGATCTGCACTAGCTTGACTCGTCAGTGGAGCTTTGTTGCACTAGTATATATTCTTCATATTCACATATCACATATTTTCTGGGGCCACTGATTTCGAACTTACTTGGAAGCTTGCCATTTGATTCAAAATCTCTAATTCTCAAATTGTGATGATGCGAAGTGATTCTTTTTTAGTTTATTTGTGAGAAGCAAAAATAAGAAATGTAGGGTACACAAATATGTCATTTGATCCTTCAAATTGCTTTTACTTAGCATGAACACTCAGTAATTATTGATGCTCAACATTTTCTTTTGGTTGAGAGATGATGCAAGTAGGGGCCGTTGTCTGAGAAGTGGTAAAAGCTCAGGCTGGCAAACTTGAGAATATATTCAATTATGACTGTAAAGAGGGACAGCCACTTTTTGTAATAATACCAAAAGTTAAGTTAGGACCCTGTTTCTCCATCCTACCGCCCTTGGTCAATGTTGATCGACATTGGTAACATCCTTTTAAGATTTGATGCAAATATTTTGGATGCACAAATTTCTGCAAATGACCTTATTGCTAGGATGCTTCTTGTGAGTGACTTGAATGGGTACATTTCTTGTTAATGAGAAAAAAAAGCTTTGGCATGTTATATCATAGTTGTTAATGGCTCAAGGTGTCAAAGGCCTTCTAGAGCCTAAGCGCAAGGCGCGAGCCTGATCAAAGTAAGGCGTGTGTGCAATATTGCATATTTAAGCATATATTATTATATACATTCAGAATCAAGTAATAACTACAATTAATGTGTGTAGTGAATCATAAATTTATGGATTTTGTCAAATATTTCGTAAGGTTAAACAATACGATTTATGATATAAATCATTTTAATTTAATAGTCATTAAATAAAAAATAAATGATTAAAAAATACAAGGCACGCCTGTTTTGATCCTGGAGCCTACTAAAAAGTGCGAGCCTGATTTCAGGGGCCTGGCCTATACTAGGTTGAGGCATTCTAGCTGAGCCTTGACGAGCCTGTGGCTTTTTCGGAGCCTAGGCGCGCCTTTAACAACTATGTGTTATATGTTGGTAGTATTTTCGTCGTGTTTGACTTGCAACAAGCTCTTGCTGATAACTTATTCATACCAGTTGAAATGTTACAAGGTTAACCTATTTATTTGTTTATTTTAGGCTGGTGCAATTGACAAGCTAGAGGCATTTTCAAGCTTCAATGGACCAGATTTCTATGGACTACCAAGAAACACGTCAAAAATCAAATTGAGCAAGAACTCATGGAAGGTGCCAGAATCATACTCATTTGCATTTGGGGATATCGTTCCAATGTATGCAGGTGAAACCCTCGATTGGCTGCCATCCAGTGTTTGATCTGCGTACCTTGAAACCGAGAAGATGCTTGTGCCTTGTTCTTTGTTGATCATTCAACTCATAGTATAAGGTACTGAATTTATTTGATGCTGTTAGATTAGAAGCATAAGTAATATAACCTCCAGTAGTGATATGGGAGCCTGATTTAAGGAGGAAATAAATTTCATGATCTAAAATGCAAACTAACAAGAAAACGGATCTCCTTAGGTGTACCTCTGTAGGTTCTGGTTCTGAACTACGCGGAGTATTGGGGTTGGGATGACAGTGAATATAAAATGGCAATCTTATTAGACCTCATTTCATACCCTTATAAGCATTGTGTTCTTAAGTTAAATTCTGATTGGCTGAAGACTGAAAGCAAGCATCAATAACATGTATCTTCAAGATTTTAGTAGCTAATTGAAGTGTTCTTGTCCGTCAATCTCTTGCATTCTTGTATGGGATGATCATGGCCGTATAACAAATCATCTATTACTGGCATATTTAATTCATATACAATAGATGAAACTGTTTCATTTATTTTCGCATCGTAGTTGAAAAAACTTATCCAAAATTCAGTGATGAGTTTCAATGCTGAATTGTTGACATCAAATCTTCTGTTAGTGGCATTGTGAAAATTTCTATCAGGAGTGGCTGGGGAAATTATTTTCATTTTATTGAGTACTGAATTCATAATAATTCCTGAAACCCCATTAAGATTGCTATTGTCCTAGAAATAATAAGACTGAAATTTCGATTCCATTGTGTTTTACAAAACTGTAATTTCAGGTTAGAAATTTAGTAAGTTCAAATACTATTCATTTGCTCTGATTTTTCAATTCTCAAATAAGAAAATTTGTTTCTCATAATTTAGACAATGGACCGTTGAATAGGCGCCATTATTGAGTTCTAAACCCAATAAAATTAGGTATTTTTTCAAAGGCACAGTGAAATGATTTATGATTAGGATCAAGAAGGGAAGGGCTCAAGCTGGGCCAATGAGTAGTAGGCTCATGACCAGAATGGGCCAATGTCTGGTTGGCTCAGGTCCAGGTAGGGATTTTGGATTGGCGACTTTATTTAAATAACGACATTGCCATATATGTGACAGACACGTATGTTAGACAAGTCCTATATTTCTGCTATAATAAATCCGTATGTTTGGTAGAAACTAGAAACCCTTGTGAAAAAAAAACTCAGGATTTTCTTTTACGCTTGAATAACACTCAATGCAACACATTACATCGGGCATTCAACACTTTATATCATGTTACAATATTCCAGTTCTATCGATTTAATATCACACAGTGATTTATGGATTTAAATGCACTAAACCTAAAATCACACAGACGTATATTATGATGACGTAGGCACAGTGAGTTTGGGGTTGTGTGTGGATATTGTAGATCCACTTGACATGGCTCACAATTTGAATACATTAAAACCTCTTCTGTGTTGTGCAGCAACACTAATGTGATTTTAGTTTTTAGGAATGCAGTACATACTACATTCATTACTTCGAGGCCCAACACTCTTTCTAATTTGTAGACATGTTTCGGAACCGAATTGTATTTTTTATTTTCGTACCAAATAGAAATAAAGTTTTTATTGTGAACTGTATTTAATGATTGGAAGCATATTTAATGAATAATGGCTAGTTTAAAGAATTCAGTTCAAAGTTTTTCAATATATATATATATATATATATATATATATATAATTAGGGTATGTTTGGCTAGTACTTTTGCTTCGTGTTTTTTTGCTTTTGTAGTAAAGTAAAAGCACGAAGCATGTTTGGTAACGTTTGTTATCATTTGAATAATACCAAAACGCTTTCAAAATTGAGATCAAAATCAGAAGCATCAAAATGATGCTTTTGATTGTTTTCACACAGTAGCAAAACACTGTTAAATAAAATAAAATAAAATAATTCTAAATTAACATTTTTAACCAACTATTCAATTTTTGAAACTTGTAACACTTTTTACGTACCAAACATGCTCTTGTGTTTTTGTTTTCAAAAATCTTACAACAAATTTACGTTACCAAATAAGTTTCGAAATAGTGTTGAACACACTCTAAAGTGAAAACATTAATTCTGCTTGGAGTCAAAGCAAAAACACAAAGTAACTGTGATTGCCAAACGGACTCTTAGTGTTTCAATTTAGGCCACTATTTATGAAGCATTTTGGTACTGTACAAAACAAATAATTATTTACCAAATATGTTGCGACCCAAAACAATGTTACAATAACCAACCCAAAACGAAAAACACGAGACAAAAACGGCATACAAAACAGACCCTTTGAGAACATAACAACAAACAAGACCCATAATTTCAAGAAAGAAAATGATTTTAAAGCCAATGAATTAGGCAGAATTCTTTATCCGAATTCCAAATATACTTGATCCATCAATATATGCAAAATATAAAAAAGGTGGGACCCTTCACTTCTTTATTTCTTGTTACTGACCAATCAAATGTATTCGGTCCAAGAATTCTAACTCTTACGCCCCAAACATATGCAACACCCACTTTTTTAATCGAAATGTAATAAGTGTAATGAGTGTCAAATTCACAACCTAATAAAATTTGCATTCATGAAATAATTGGTATTACATATTTTAAAATTTTAAATTAATAAAATTTAAATTCATGAACCGGATGGGATTGCTGGTGGTCTTGCTCTGTGGTGGACTGATAATGTTCACCTCCAGGTGGTGGAAAAAAATTCTTTTTCTATTATGGTTGCTATTCTGTCATCCAATCAACTCCCGTGGTATTTCTCTCTTCTTTATGCTAGTTCTGTTGACAGGGACCAGGCTGTGCAATAGGAGTATTTTATTCATCGTTCTAGATATTGGTCGTCTCGGTGGATTATTATTGGGGATTTTAATGATATCTTACATCCTTCTGAAAAGCATGGGGGCCGGGCTAGGTCTCAGTGGCAACTTCAGTCTTTTTGTACAGTGATTGATCGTTGTGCTTTAATGGATCTTGGGTATCAGGGTTTTCCTTTTACATGGTCTAACCAGCGGGACGGGTCTGCTAATATTCAGGAACGGTTGGATCGCGCGTTGGTGACTAAGGAGTGGCTTTCTGTTTTTCCTCGAGCTACCTTATCTCATTTTTCTGTCATTGGTTCTAATCACTATGCTTTACTTCTGACACTTGTCCCTGAGCGTCGTGCTCGCAAACGACAATTTCACTTTGATGCTCGTTGGACTCTCTCGGATGACAGTCGACAAATAATTGATTCGGCTTGGTCTACTCCGATCCGTGGTTCGGTTCAATTTCAGTGGGCTCAGAAATTATGGCATTGTAAAGCTGATCTTATTCATTGGGCAAAGCTTCGTAATCTTAATTCCTGAGCTCAGATTGATTGTATGTTTGCTCGGCTTCGCGAGTTGCGAGCTCGAACTTCAACTTACTGTCATGCTGAAGTGGTTCAATTGGAACATTTTTTAACGTTTTGCTAGTTGGACGAAGAATTGTATTGGAAACAGAAGTCTTGTCTCATTTGGATACAAGAGGGGGATCGTAATACAAAAAAATTTCATGTCACTGATAAAAAAGAGGAGAAGCCGCAATACCATTTCCGGGGTTTTTGATGCTGGGAATCACTGGGTGGTTGAGGAAAATGCAGTACAGTCGGTTTTTCTGAGTTATTTTCAAGATTTGTTTCAGTCTTCCTCTCCTTCAACTATTGATCAATTTTTGCGGTATGTGCCGATCCGGATCTCTGATGAGATGAATGCTAATTTGATGTTGGCTCCCATAGAGTTGGAGGTGAAGTAGGCAATGTTTTCTATGCAACCGTTGAAAGCTCCTTGGCCGGATGGGATGACCCTGTAATTCTATCAGAAATATTGGGAGGTTCTTAAACGGGACATTGTTGGGCAATCTTTAGTTTTTTTGCTACTGGGAATTTACTGACCAGTTTTAATCATACCAATATTGTTTTAATTCCTAAAATTCCCTCTCCAATGAAGGTTAGTCATTACCGACCCATTTCGTTATGTAATGTGTCTTATCGCATTATTGCGAAAATTCTGACTAACCGTTTGAAAGGGATCATTGGCTCCTTTATCGGTGCATCCCAAAGTACTTTTGTTGCCGATCGTCATATTACGGATAATATTTTAATTACACATGAAATTTTACACTATTTGAAAAATAAGCGCAAGGGAAGTAAGGCATGGTTGGCGTTGAAACTAGATATAAGTAAAGCTTATGACCGGATTGAGTGGGATTTTTTACTTCGTATGCTGGCCCAGTTGGGATAAATGCCCATTGGATTCAAATGATCTCAACCTGCACTTCCACGGTCTCTTACTCTTTGAAAATTAATGGGAGCTCAGTGGGTTTTTTCCAACCGTCCAGGGGTTTGCGTCAAGGCGATCTTCTTTCCCCATATTTGTTTATTATTTGCACTGAAGCTCTTTCGCAGGCTATTTTGCAGGCCCAGGAAGCTCGATTGTTATCTGGACTTTATATTTGTCGGGGAGCACCTTCTGTGTCTCATCTTTTTTTTTGCTGATGATTCTATTGTATTTTGTGCTACTGATTCAACGGAAGTTGGTGTGTTGAAACGCATTTTGAATGATTATGAATGGGCCTCTAGGCAACAGGTGAATTTTAGTAAATCCTCCATTTTTTTCTCACGTAATGTTCCCATGCCATTGAGGCGATCTTTTAGTCATGCTTTAGGCTTGCCGTTGTCGGGGTTTCATAGTCGATATCTTGGGGTGCCGGCCATTTTGGGCCGCTCCAAGAGGGATGTGTTTCAATTCCTTCTGACTAACATTCAGGACCGGTTATCTTTTTGGAAAGCGAAAGCTATGTCTACGGGTGGGGAAGCGGTGTTAATTAAGGCAGTGTTGAGTGCTTTGCCTACATATGTTATGTCTTCCTTTAAGCTTCCCATTACGATGTGTCAAGATTTAATGAAGTGTATTCGCTCTTTTTGGTGGTGTTTTAAAAATAAATCTTGGGCAATTCACTGGCTTCATTGGAAATTCTTGTGCCGGAGTAAATCTTCAGGTGGTCTGGGGTTTCGCAATTTGGAGACTTTCAATTTGGCTCTTCTCTCTAAGCACGCTTGGCATTTTCAGGTCCATAAACAGGGATTGTTGTATCAGTTTTTCAAAGCAAAATATTTTCCTTCTTCGTCGTTCTTGGAGGCTCCTTTAGGTTATAATCCTTCTTGGGGATGGCGTAGTATTTGGTCTACTCAGGCCTTGTTATGTCAGGGGGTCCGCTCGTTGATTAGGAATGGCCTTTCCACGGATGTTTGGAATGATCATTGGGTTCTTACGCTTCCTCACAAACTGCCACCACCCCGGGTTCCTGCTCCATTTTCTTCTATGGCAGAGTTGATTGATCCTGTTACGTCTTCATGGAAGTTGGATGTTTTGTCTCAAGTTTTCTCACCCACTATAGTGCAGGAAATTCTTAAAATTCATATTAGTCATTGGGATAAACCGGATGAGATCATTTGGTCTCCTGAGCGGTCGGGTAAGTTTTCTATGCGTTCGGCTTATCAATTGGCTATGTCCGGGGATTCTTTTTTGGGGGTTGCTTCTCCTATTGGTTCTTGGTCTTCTATTTGGAGTTGCCGGATACTGTCTAAGGTGCAACACTTCCTTTGGAGATGTTGTTTTCATTCCTTGCCAGTTCGTGTTGCTTTGCTGGCTCGCGGGTGTGCGGTGTCTCCTCTTTGCCCTCGTTGTGGGTTGTAGGAGTCTGTGGTGCATCTTATCTTTTCTTACCTTCATTCTCATCAGGTGTGGAAGTTATCTCCGTTACGCTTTGATTTTTCCGATTTGTCTTTTTCTTCGTTCCGCGTAGGCTGGCGTTTTCCGGTGCATAAGGCTATGGTCTCATCGGATTTTGCGAATGTTATTAGCCTGATTTCCTTTTGTGTCTGGGGTATTTGGAAGGCCCGGAATCGGTTGGTCTTTAAGGGGATTTTATGGCGGCCTAAGGTTGTGGTGCAAAAGGCTGTTGTTAGTTTTTGGGAGTTTCATGATGCTCGTTCCCTCTGCTCCTCAGTACAACCATGGCTGGCTAGTAAATTGGTGGAGTCGTGGAGTCCCCCTCCATCGGGTGTTGTTAAGTGTAATTTTGATGCGGTTTTTTGTCGGCAGTCTTCGCAAGGGGGTGGCGCTGCTGTTTTTCGGGATTCTCGGGGTGTAGTGCTTCGTGCGGTTATTTTTCGTCCCTTCTCAGCTGCTTCAGCTTTAGAGGCGAAAGCGTTGGTCTGTCAGCGTGCGATTCTTTGCGCTATAGATTTGCATTTCTTTTCCTTATGGTTTGAATCATATGCTAAAGTTGTGGTGGACGGGGTGTTATGTCAGTTGTCTTGCCCATCAGAAATTGCTTCTATTTGTTTTGATATTGCTCGGGACTTGCGACGGTTTTTATCTGCTCAGTTGACTCATGTGCGTCGTCAGGGTAATCGGGTGGTTCATGCTTTGACTACTCTTTCGCGGTCTGGGGTTGTGTCGGATATGTGGTTGTCTTCTGTTCTTCTTTCTGTCATCCCTTTTGTGGTGGCAGAGGGGGGGTCTTAGTGGGTTGTGGTTCCTTTGGTTTTTGGGTTGTGGTTGTTTTTGCCTTGGACCAAAAAAAAAAAAAAAATCACTTAATATTGATCCACATTACTATGTACCAGGACAAGTCGAATATATCCGATCAATTAAAATCTAACAAATCCAACCATAGAGAGTAAGTTTTATTATATAGTGGGAACAATTTCATCAGAGATATGTTAGGGATCCAATTCCAAATATAAGAATTTTACTGTATATACATTTGTGTGTGTGTGTGTGTATATATATATATATATATATATATATTTGAAGGTAATATGCTAGTCAAGAAACAAACAAACAAACACCAGTATCCATGAATTTCCCTGATTTACATTTTACACCCCATGAACAAAAATATTAATGAAAAAGGAAAATACAACACTTTCTCTTTATTTATTCTTTGGAACTTCTCTCCCCCGTCTCCCTTAATTTATTTATTCCCCAAATAATAAATAAATGATTATTATAAACATATAATACCATTCCACACTTACAACCCCATGTGTATATATATATATGTATTTTCCATTTTAATTTTACCACCACATGATCTCATGCCAGCCGGAATCTGACCCACATGCGCGTCCCTTGTCCACTTCCAAAAGTCACCCACTTGTGCTACACATTCACATTTTCACTCCCCTCTCCCTCTCTCTCTTGTCTCACTCAACCGTGGCCACTGAAGATGCTTTGCTTGTTACTATCTCATAACCACCGCCACCACCTCCATCTTCTTCATCTTCATCATCCTCAATGTCTTCTTCCTCATCATTATTCTGATCAACGTCTTCGTTTTCCCGATCCTCCATTACCGCCTCTGGCCGGTGTTCTTCCACCGGAAGAGGCCATTGCTGCTCTGGTCGAACCATTATCGGCGCCATCTGATTTTCGACCTTATTCAAGGCGGACCCATGATTGAATGAAGCATCAACCTTGTTTTTCTCTTTGTATAGGGCTTCAAGTTGGTGAAAATATGGACAAGTCTTCGAATCTTCGGGTCTTTTCTTGTTGCTCTCTTTCACTTTCTTGAAGTACTTGTTGATGTTCTCCCATTTCTCTTTGCATCTCTTCGCGCTCCGGTCGTACCCAAGCTTACGCATGCCCATGGACATTTCCTCCCATAGAGGCCCTTTAGGTCCGTTTTCTAGATACTTGAGATCAAGATCGGCTCGAAGACTGATCAAAGCTTGAACCTCCGCTTTCGGCCATCTAGAAGAGCTGTTTGGTGTGAAGTTTTCAGTTTTCCGATTGTCCAAAGTGGGCGGTGACGGTGGTGGTGGTGGTGGTTGCCGTGGCGGTGATGGTGGCTGTGGTGGTGGCGGCAGCTGCGGCGGCACTGGATTTGCTTGAACTTGTAGTAACATTTGCATTTGCGACGAATTAGGGTTTTGTTGTTGTTGGGATATTTTCTGCAGGAATGCAATTAGTGACGCATCTTTAGCTGCGGCCATGGATCTCTCTTGTACTAAAAGCTCATGCTCTCTATTCATCCTTGCCATTTCTTGAACTCTCCAAGCTTCTTCTTTCTCAATCCAATCGCGCTCCCGCTTCTCCAATACTTCTAGAAACTTCCTCTGTAGCTCCTCTTGCTTGTGGATCACCTCATTCATTACTCTCTCCAACAAGTCCTCCCATTTTCGCTTCCTCCTGAGCCGCCTTCGCGGCTCCAAGTCTGATGAAGTTGAAGAAGAGGTAGAATTCAGCATCACATTCGGATGCAAAGATCCAATTACATTCCTTCCATAAGGCTTTTTAGGGTTTGTTGTTGTTGTTGCTGCTGCTGTTGATAGTGGCGGTGGTGGTGGTCGCAGTGGTTGGGATAAAGGACTGGTAGAGTTTACACTACTCGGTGTGACTGTGCTTTGACTTACCATTATAGGGTTTGTTGCTGATGGAACTGTACTAGTGATTTGTGATACAACAGGAGGATTAGTCCTGGACATTTCCACCATTGCTGTCGCCATTGCCATTGCCGGAATTTGAGGTTTTGAGGGAGAAGGTAACGGATGGGAAGGATGGTTTTCGAAGGCTTCTAATTGATCAAAGAATGGGTAGTTCTTACCATCTCCCTTGGAAGCTCGGCCTTCTTTGGTTCTCTTGTGGTACTTGTAAACGTTCTCGAATTTTTCCTTGCATTTCTTGGCGCTTCTATGATAACCAAGCTCTGCCAATTTCCTGGTAACCAAACAAACAATCCAGTTTCTATCCAATCTTGAATTCATGATCAAAATGAACAGATAATAATAGAACTTACACACATAAAATAAACTTGCTAAAAACCATATATACAAAAAGAAAAAATATAGATATAAAGTACTGAGAAAATAAGGAAACAGCCCAAGAAATTGATTAAGATAGAGAAAATCAAACAACTTTATAATTCAAGTTGCAAGATTTTATTTTATTTTTTATTTTTTATGCATATATAATTTACTACTTATCTGAAGTACACTAAAAGGTGAGAATTGAAATCTTAAATATATGGGGAATTATAGTAAGAATCAATCCAGATCGAAAAAATATATATATTCAACCAAAATTTCTGGCAAGAATTTACAAGAAACTGCTGGAAAATTAACCAGATACAAGGAAAACCCGAAATCGGAATTTGATCAGACTAAGGAATTTTCAACAAATGAACTTAAAAACAGTGACCCAGAATCTGAAAATTTAACTAGAATTCATTTAATTTTTCCAAAAATTGATGTCTATGATACAAACTCGAAAACTAGATATGTAGATAAGAAATTCAATAATTATATACCTTGAAACCTCTTCCCATAAGGGGCCTTTGAGACTGGAGTCACGAAAGGCAACATCCATATCGGATCTTATCTTGAGGAGAGCCAGTGTTTCTTGCTTCGGCCACCGGTTTCCGGCTGAGCTTCGGTCACCTTCCTCGGCTCTACCTTTCTCTTCTTCACTGAATCCACCTGTACTTGGTCCTGCACCGTCGGTTTCACCGCCACTACCACCGTGCTCTTGAGGTCTGGGAGCTGCAGCGCCATCGCCGGAGCTTCCAGGAAGGCCTGAAACGCCTAGCATGAGAGGCACTTGACGCAATTACAGCTGAAAAAAAATAAAAATATAGTAGAATACAAGAAAAAGATGGTGAATTGTGAAGGGTTTTATGAAGATGGGGTGTGTGGTAGAATTTATTAATGTATTTCGGTGAGATCTGCCTGTCAATCTCACACCACAACAACACTAGCAAAATTAAAAATGTTCTCTTTTACCTGTGGAATCTTCAGTCTTTTTCTTTTCTTTTTCTAATTTAAAAACAACGCCAGAAATGTCACTTGAATTGATACCAAATTATTATAAAAAATAAAAATAAAAATATTATTTTTCTTTTTCTTTTTCCCTTTTTTTTTTTATATTTTATTTTTAGTGTTGGATATTTTAGACACCCAATAATCCACCACTAAAACACACGTCCCGCATGCACCGACAATTATTTAGAGAATTTCTTAAAACACTTTCATGGTATCGTGTCAACTTGAAAAGAAATTCTGCTTTGTATATTAAGGAGTATCAATTTTTAATTACATTAAAAATTAAAATATCTTATGGTATGATAAGATTTAGGACTTTGAAATATGCTCTATTTTAATTCTCTCTCCTTTCTTACTTCTTCTCACTTCTTATTTAATTTTGTCCATTTTGCTATTTAATTTTGTTCTTTCTCTAAAATTTTAATTGTGTAAAAATTATAAATAAATTCTCTCCAAACTTGTCTTAATCCTCAACTTATATCAAATAAATTGGGGGATATAGATAAATAATATATATAATTTGAACTAAATTTAATTTAATTTAATTTAATTTTAATTTGAGAAGAATGATTTAGTACCATATAAGATGCTAGGAACCTGAAGGTACAAAACAGTTAAATCACAATGTAATTGTGAAACACATTGATATAATATCAATGCTAATACGAAGCACAGAAACGCCACGTAACAAAAATGAGAGGGAAAAAGATCATGGTCCATTGTACTAGGGTGAAAAGTTGAGGAGCGGCAGCAGCAACCACAGATAGGACGATGATGATAATAAGATGGTTTTTGTCTGTGCAGCTAAATATAGTTAAAAGTCGGCCCATGTAGGTCATCTTTGCTTTTTTGGGCGTTTTTTTATTCCACCGAGAGTAGCTTTCTGAAATGACCATATAGCCCCTAACAGGTATACCATTGACCTCTAATCATACAAATCTATTTTCACAATTTTTTATTAGATCACCTGATCAACACACCAGAGATTTTATATTTTTATTTTTTCTGTAACAATATTCTTAAATCAGGGTAGTTACTTAATTCCCCAAAATGCCCTTGCATTTAAAAATGTAATATTGGATATTTTAATAAGATATAGAACCGTTGGGTTTCAAAATTTGTTAGGGGTGGAATGTGATGCTCATAGTGCCACGCAGTGTTACCGGGACCTACTGCGACGGTGACCATCGAAATTTGACAACTTATGTTTATGAATTATTAATGATTTTGAAATTTGACAACAGTGTAAGTTTGTGGCTGATGAGTGTGAAAGCACACATTCAAACGTAAGAATGGTCGTTTAATAGTAGTTTTATGGAGATTACTACTACTACATGTTGGAAAATGATATAAATAATGACTTCTGTGTACCGATGAGTTTTAGTTGATTGTGGCGTGAACGGTATGACATATTCTTTAGTTGATTGGTATTTACTGTTAAGTGGTCGCCAGTTGTGGTAAAATGATTGATGAGTTGGTTAATATTTTGAAAATGAGTTGTGCTGTAGAGTCTAATACGTCCGAATCTCAAATTATTTGTTATAAAATTTTTATTTTTTGGTGATACTAAAGAGGATTGATAAGTCATTTTTTTTTTCTTTCACATATTTTTATTTCTTTAAATATGAACGAAATATAGTTATTATAAATAGATTTTAAATTACTATACAATATTTTTATTAATTAACACTGTCTCTTCTCTTCTCTTCTCTTCTAACAAACAAAATAAGGTATTATCTCATTCTCTTCTCTTTTATCGTACCAAACAATAAGAAGAAATGAGAATTTTCTTTTACCTCTCATCCAATTTTCTTCCTTCCTATCAAATGGAGCATTAAATCCATAACCTCAGTCAATTCACATACTATCATATCCCTCTAGGAATGTGTCCCTTCCCTAACCCCACCAACTAGATATAGATATCAAATTTGTTGATTTACATAAATCTTTAAGATAAATTTAACATATGCCCCAACTAAGGGTACACACGGTCCGGTTTGGTCCGATTTTGAGGATTTTTAGAACCAAACCACTCCCTAAGGTTCCAAAAAATCTGAAACTGAATCAGACCATTTGAGCTATGGAACCAAACCAGTACTCCAAACCGTGAAAAAATGGTTTGGTTCCACGGTTCTAGTTGAATTTTATTTTCCTTTTTTTTTTTCCCTGAATTCTATATATAACAAAAATATCAATAAAAACATTCACATTCCCGAATAGCAGACTAAAATAGAGTGAGAAAAAGAGGAAAAAGTGGATGAAATAGACCCAAAAAACTAACCCTAGAAATTAAACTAAGGTTGAATCTTACTAAAACTGAAAAGAATGACAAATCCGTGATTGAAAACTAAGAAACTTGATTCGTTGTCGTTATTGATTGTGTTTGATGCGCAAACACGCCATGAGATTTAGAGATATATGAACTGGAAGTGAGAAAGAATGGGAAAGAGTGTGAGAAAGAGGATATCACCGATGACATAGATAAAAGATCAACGACGATGACCAAACTTCGAAGGTTGCTTGAGAGATATTGATCAACAACTGGATCTCGCAGCGACGAGAACTAAGAAGTGAATGAGGTAGCGCGAGCAAAGAAAAATAATGAGATAGTGGAAAAATGTTGGCACGCACCCAAAAATCAAAACATTGGGGGAAGCAAAAGCAAATAAAAAAAAATATCAGATAATGATGAATATTGGCTCCCCGTTTGATAGTTGTGGCGAAATCCCTTTCAAAAGAGTAATATATAGGTATATCTATGTTAACATATATTTATATACCAAATATAACGGTTCGGTTGGGGCCGATCAAGTCCTGTATGACCCTAATCTGGGACCAAACCAAAAAATTCACAGTTCCATTATTTTAAAACCGTGACTGGACTGAACCGCTATGGAACCAGCCCAGACTGCCAAATTCGGTCCGGTCCGATTTGGTTTTTCGGATTGACGATTTTTTTGCACACCCCTAGCCCTAACCAACCCCTTCCCGTCCCCTAAATTTTGAATTACTGAAATTATCTCTTAATCTTTTTTCTTTGTTTTCACTTTTACTTTCCAAATACATTCGATTTCCCAAAAATAAAATTCTCTCCTTCAATCAAACTCTAATTTTTTTCCACTTCTAAGTTCTCTTATTTTTATTGTTCTTTTTTTTTTTTTTTTTTTTCTCCACTTCTTAAAATTTCTTCTTATTCTTTCTAATTTTTTTTTTTTTTTTCTTAATCAATATGTGTAATTCAATGTATCTTCAAAATAAGAGTAAAGTTTATGATAGTTGTAATTGTATTTAATGAATAAATCAAAAATCAAATTTTTGGTTCTTATATTTATGGAATATTTATTTTTCTTACACCAACTTTAACATTTTATTACAATTCTAACTCAAGTGCACTGCCCCTAACTAAAATCATGGCTCTGCCCTAATGATATATTTCTTTACTAATTATATCTACGTTAACTTTGGTCTTCACATTAATTTTATATGACATAAAATATACACCACATCTATGCCTCTACGAGAATGTTTAATTACAGTTTTTATATAACCCTTTTTATCATACAAAGCTTTCATCCAAACATGTTACTCCGTATTAATTATTCCTCTAAAAAAAAAATTTCCTTCCAAACTATAGTTTATTAGTTGTTTCACAAAATTTACTTTTCGTATTTGAAGTAAACATTGATCATATAATATTTCTTAAACACACTATGTTGTTTTTCTTTAAATTTTATCAGTATCAACAATTTTTTTATATCTCTATATGAATAATCGAGTCCATATAACTATATTATGCTATGAGAACTTTCATTTACATAGAAATTGTGGACACTTAAAAGAAGGATGTCTCCTAACTATACAGGCGTATCTTTAAAACCATGAATATAAAAAAAGTACAAAATTGATGTCTCCTAACTATACAGAAGTATGTTTAAAACTGCGAACATTGAAAAAGTACAAAGCCGGCATTATTGGAATAATTTTTTTTTTTCCCCTAAACTTTGATTAGAAAGGTAATTTTAGATGGTATCCATGGGTAAGGTGTAGGTGTTGTTATTAGGCAAAGCTATTAATGAGTAGTAAATGGTGACAAATTCAGTTAGCTGCAACCTACCCATAATAAATGGCAAAGAACTTTCAATGATCTGATCAGTTATCATTGATGACTTCAAAATTATTAAAAACTTGGGGGACCATAATGAGCTAACTATATACTACCTTAAATTTTTGCATCCCACTTTATTATTACTGCGGTCAAATATGAAGTCACAACTCTTACATAACTTTCGAATTTTATAGCTTAGTCGGTGCACTTAATGAACTGTACTCAAACAGAGAAGTTTGTTGAAATTCAATTTTTTTTTTTTCTTTTTTCTTTTTACAATTGATCCTCTCCACATTTAGAGGATCTCAAACATTATTAATATATTATTTTGTGTAAAATATACACTATCACTTATAATGTGTAATTTCATCTTTTTTCAGTAGTCTGTTAAGATACTGTCACATCACCAATGCGTAAAATTATTATGTATTTTACCTAACCTTTTATACAGTCATATCACATATTTCATTTCTCCCCCCTCTCTCTCATTCCATTAACGAATCAACCATATATTAAGTAAGTTTCTAAAAATAATGTGGGGTCCTAGCATGACACGTGATTAGTTGATATTAGGGGATATATATATTTTTACACAAAAGACATAAAGGAACTGCTTGAATTAAGTAGGTTTGTAAGAGTAATGTAGGGTCTTAGCATGACACGTTATTGGTTGTTATTGGGAGATATATATCTTTACACAAAAGATATAAAGCAACCGTTGGAACTAAAAATAAACAATTCAAAATTTTTGTATAAATCTATCGTGACACACAAAAAAATATATACAACGGTTGAAGATGATCTTACAGCCTACAAA